GGCAATATGCTGACTCTGTAAACCGCTTAGAGAGGGCTGAAAGCCCTATGAAGCAGTATATAAGTCTAACTGCTATTGCTATTGCTATTAAATGCTATGAGCATGAGCAGTTTTCAACACTGAACCCATTTTTCTTGTTCAGATTTAATTTCAGTTATTTATTTATCATCATGTCTTCCAGACATCACTTCTGGACATCTAAAGCCGCAGCAGATGAACCTAGAAGTGAGGTATTCACCTACACCCAGCTCCCTTAAACTATGTTCCGTCATTCCTTCCATCTGTGAAAATTTCACCTTCGTGAAATGGAAGAGTTTGATAGATTTGGGCACGCTTGGTTCCTAGAGCCTGGACAGGGGTCGATCTTCAAGTATTTGAAGGGATGTCAAAGGGAGAGTACCCTGTTGAGCAAAACGTGGAGAGGCAGATCATGGTTTAATGTTAGGAAGAGCATTTCAGCAACCATGGAGCAACTTATCATGGTGGTTTATGGGATTACAATCACTTACACCAGAAGTGTCAAACTCAATTTCATTGAGAGCCATATCAGGGTTGTGCTTGACTTCAGGGGTCCAGGATGGGCGTGGCCAGCTCGACATCTTTTGTGTCAGGGGTACCTTTGGTGGCCAGAGTGCTCTACCAGGGAAAACAGGCTCTCGAGCTCCGTTTCCAGCTGCGACCCCCTCCTGCAACCATCTACCAGCGAAAACAGCCCAGGAGGGCAACACGCAGCCCTCATGAGCTCAATTTTCAGCTGCGATGTTCTCCTGCAACCCTCTGCCAGGGAAAACAGAGCTTGGAAAAGCTGCATGCGGCCCTCCCAAGCTCCATTTTCCCTGGCAGAGGCACCGCAGGCCAGTCCTTCATGGTTTCCAGGACGACTCCATGGGCCAGATCTAAGCACCCCATGGGCTGGATACGGCCCCCGGTCCTTGAGTTTGACACCCCTGACTTAAACAGAAAGGTTGAACAGCTATTTGCTTAAAGTGTACTGTAAGGGGAGGCAGATTCATTGATCTAATTCTAATGCCTCTGTGAGCAAGATGCAAAAACATGATGGGAAAATGTGATGAAATATCAAAATAAAACCAAATGAGCACCAAGGCCACTGAGTAGAGTTACCAGGAGTTTATCCCAACTCAAGGCATCTTTAACCCTTTACACTATGGGGCTGGAGAAGATTCCTGTGAGTCCCTTGGACTGCAAGGCGACCCAACTGGTCAGTCCTAGAGGAGATCAACCCTGACTGCTCTTTAGAAGGCCAGATCCTGAAGAGGAAACTCAAGAGACTTTGGCCACCTAATGAGAAGGAAGGACTCACTGGAGAAGAGCTTCATGCTGGGAATGATTAAGGGCAAAAGAAGAAGGGGATGGCAGAGAAGGGAGGTGGCTGGATGGAGTCACT